AGAAAAATGTAAACGGAAAACACAGAATTTGAGAAAAAATTAAATGTATTTCATGGGGCACCAGTAGAGCAGCTTTACAGCTGAAATAGAATGTGTTTGATTAGTGACCGTTTTTGTTAATGTTGTTATTCTCCTGTTTATTAATGTGTAGTGGTTTTGTATAAAGCTTTACTATTCCACTAACCTGCAACCAGCAAAGTCTCTCTTGTGCAATCTGCCCAAACACTTCAGCTCCGATTCCGATCACTTTCTGTTGTTGGATGTGCATAACCTGAAACACAGAAGAATATATGAGATACTACGCATACGCAGGAGATGAGAGGACAACACTAGACTCACTGCTGGGCCAAACTTCTCCTGAAGCTCGTCTATCACCACATAACGCACACCGTCCTCATCGACATCATCTGAGGAGAAAGAAGACGGGTGATGATGAAGAGGAGGAGGATGATGATGATGATGAGGAGGAGGAGGAGGAGGAGGTAACATCAGGACACTTACCCACCATCTTCTTCCTGAACGAGTGGATCTCAGATGTGTGCTCTTCATTAACACTGAGTGAATATACAACAAATAAACAAGTTTAGCAAACTCTCATGACCAGTAACATTACTAATGACTGTAAATGACTCGATCAAACACATGCATTAGTATACAGACACTCACAGGTTGTCTTGATTGGTAAATTCCACTTTAAAAAGAAAAAAGAAATTATTTCTTGGCTTGGCTGGACCAACAAAACCTACATACGTGTAAGCACCGTTTTAACTAGTTGTTTTATTTGCTAAAATGTTTTTATGAATAAGAATCTGAAACATTATACAGTTCACCTTTAAGAATTTCATGTCCGAAAATGATCTTGACGCCTGGAAACTTGCGTCCGCTTTTCACTTCAGACACTGTGAGAAGGAGAAGTAAAGCTGTAACTTATATAAACAGTGTGTTATTACACAGAATCTGTCCTCACCGTCCTCTAACACCACGCTCTTCTTCTGAGAGACGCGCTGGATCACGCCGCTGATCTGTGTGTCGGACAGAGTGATTCTAACGCGTTTTCTCTTCAGATCATCCAGAAACCTGCTCTCCTCTGAAGATGATGCCATGACCGGCCTTGTTAATGAACTAATGAAGCTCCGAGCGTCGCGGTTAATTAACTGCTCGTGACGTGTGGAGCACAACTGTCTAACTAGTTCAAGCACAAACCCCGCCCCGCGGGCGATTCGGAGGATTTAATTGGTCACGTAACTCACAAGCTGATTCGCTACACAGCGCTCAAACCAACGCGCTATCTATCTATCTATCTGTCTATCTATCTATCTATCTATCTATCTATCTGTCTGTCTAGCATGTCTATCTGTCTATCTATCTATCTATCTGTCTGTCTGTCTATCTATCTATCTGTCTATCTATCTATCTGTCTATCTATCTATCTGTCTATCTATCTATCTGTCTATCTATCTATCTGTCTATCTATCTATCTGTCTATCTATCTATCTGTCTATCTATCTATCTGTCTATCTATCTATCTGTCTATCTATCTATCTGTCTATCTATCTATCTGTCTATCTATCTATCTGTCTATCTATCTATCTGTCTATCTATCTATCTGTCTATCTATCTATCTGTCTATCTATCTATCTGTCTATCTATCTATCTGTCTATCTATCTATCTGTCTATCTATCTATCTGTCTATCTATCTATCTGTCTATCTATCTATCTGTCTATCTATCTATCTGTCTATCTATCTATCTGTCTATCTATCTATCTGTCTATCTATCTATCTGTCTATCTATCTATCTGTCTATCTATCTATCTGTCTATCTATCTATCTGTCTATCTATCTATCTGTCTATCTATCTATCTGTCTATCTATCTATCTGTCTATCTATCTATCTGTCTATCTATCTATCTGTCTATCTATCTATCTGTCTATCTATCTATCTGTCTATCTATCTATCTGTCTATCTATCTATCTGTCTATCTATCTATCTGTCTATCTATCTATCTGTCTATCTATCTATCTGTCTATCTATCTATCTGTCTATCTATCTATCTGTCTATCTATCTATCTGTCTATCTATCTATCTGTCTATCTATCTATCTGTCTATCTATCTATCTGTCTATCTATCTATCTGTCTATCTATCTATCTGTCTATCTATCTATCTGTCTATCTATCTATCTGTCTATCTATCTATCTGTCTATCTATCTATCTGTCTATCTATCTATCTGTCTATCTATCTATCTGTCTATCTATCTATCTGTCTATCTATCTATCTGTCTATCTATCTATCTGTCTATCTATCTATCTGTCTATCTATCTATCTGTCTATCTATCTATCTGTCTATCTATCTATCTGTCTATCTATCTATCTGTCTATCTATCTATCTGTCTATCTATCTATCTGTCTATCTATCTATCTGTCTATCTATCTATCTGTCTATCTATCTATCTGTCTATCTATCTATCTGTCTATCTATCTATCTGTCTATCTATCTATCTGTCTATCTATCTATCTGTCTATCTATCTATCTGTCTATCTATCTATCTGTCTATCTATCTATCTGTCTATCTATCTATCTGTCTATCTATCTATCTGTCTATCTATCTATCTGTCTATCTATCTATCTGTCTATCTATCTATCTGTCTATCTATCTATCTGTCTATCTATCTATCTGTCTATCTATCTATCTGTCTATCTATCTATCTGTCTATCTATCTATCTGTCTATCTATCTATCTGTCTATCTATCTATCTGTCTATCTATCTATCTGTCTATCTATCTATCTGTCTATCTATCTATCTGTCTATCTATCTATCTGTCTATCTATCTATCTGTCTATCTATCTATCTGTCTATCTATCTATCTGTCTATCTATCTATCTGTCTATCTATCTATCTGTCTATCTATCTATCTGTCTATCTATCTATCTGTCTATCTATCTATCTGTCTATCTATCTATCTGTCTATCTATCTATCTGTCTATCTATCTATCTGTCTATCTATCTATCTGTCTATCTATCTATCTGTCTATCTATCTATCTGTCTATCTATCTATCTGTCTATCTATCTATCTGTCTATCTATCTATCTGTCTATCTATCTATCTGTCTATCTATCTATCTGTCTATCTATCTATCTGTCTATCTATCTATCTGTCTATCTATCTATCTGTCTATCTATCTATCTGTCTATCTATCTATCTGTCTATCTATCTATCTGTCTATCTATCTATCTGTCTATCTATCTATCTGTCTATCTATCTATCTGTCTATCTATCTATCTGTCTATCTATCTATCTGTCTATCTATCTATCTGTCTATCTATCTATCTGTCTATCTATCTATCTGTCTATCTATCTATCTGTCTATCTATCTATCTGTCTATCTATCTATCTGTCTATCTATCTATCTGTCTATCTATCTATCTGTCTATCTATCTATCTGTCTATCTATCTATCTGTCTATCTATCTATCTGTCTATCTATCTATCTGTCTATCTATCTATCTGTCTATCTATCTATCTGTCTATCTATCTATCTGTCTATCTATCTATCTGTCTATCTATCTATCTGTCTATCTATCTATCTGTCTATCTATCTATCTGTCTATCTATCTATCTGTCTATCTATCTATCTGTCTATCTATCTATCTGTCTATCTATCTATCTGTCTATCTATCTATCTGTCTATCTATCTATCTGTCTATCTATCTATCTGTCTATCTATCTATCTGTCTATCTATCTATCTGTCTATCTATCTATCTGTCTATCTATCTATCTATCTATCTATCTCTCTATCTATCTATCTAAAAGAAAAGAGACTTGTTTGCCACACAGATTTGGGCTGTGTAAATGTATGTGGGTCTATCCAGCTATTGTTTTTAATTGCTGAAAAAGGTTTTTATTGCAAGATAATGTTGGTCTTATGAGGAAAGCATTACTCAGACATAAACAAATATCAATACTCAAATGCAAGACGAAACCTACGAAACTTTCTCGAAACCTAAACCTACAGAAAATAGGCCTACTTACATAAATAGCAGCAAACAGACTGATCATGAAAAGCATTACTTCGTCAGAGATTTTTTCTGGAAACACTAATATTTTCGAAGGGGGAAAACCCAGAATATGTAATATGTTGTCACAGGAATCGTCTGTAATAACATGCCACCCGAGGACGCACTTCTCCAGCATTGTGTTATTATATAAAATATATCAGTGAACGTCTTTAGTTAATATTTGAGTCTCAGTGTGCTTGCTGAGAGATGATTTAGTTTATCATTAGTAAAAGAAGTTCTGTTCGTGCCCTTAAAAATAATTATTCATAATTGTAATGGTAAAAAGCAATTCACTATTAATTAATACTGTGTATGAAAGTTTTTTTTCTTTTTATAGAAATTACCCCATGATTGTGTAAGACAAATTATTTTCATGCCATGAATTATTAATAACTGATCAACAATATTTATATAAAGTTAGGCTATATTAACACAAAAAAAAAATTATTTTCCTGTTTATTTTTTATTTTTTCCCATTATAACATAAATGTGTAAATAATTGAAGTCATATTTTTTGATAGTCATTTCTCAGATAACAAGTTAAATTCTCAAAACAACTCGTTCAAGCTCCACATTATCTAGTCATTAAACTAGTTATTATCATAATCTGTCAAGCATCTTTTCTCGTATACATTATTTTGTAAAACTCAGTGTTACAAATTCTGACAATAAAAGAACAACAAGGAAACAAACAGCTGAGAAGAAGAAGAAGAGTAGCGCGTTTCTGATGAAATAAGGGTCAGTTTTATGGACCATATTCACAATCATTCAAACATTTGTAGACAGAACAGGTATGTAATCAAACAATGTGCACTGTAATACTGTACGCTTACTGTAATGATTCATATTACAGTAGACCACTTTCACTGTACATCATACAATAGAGGGAGAAAAAAAATGTCTTGTAATTTTCTTTATATCGTAATGACATTAAAAGTCAGAAGTAAAAGTGTAACTGTGAACAATATCTCACATACAGTAATGTGTACATCTGTACTGTTGAAAGCGGCATATATAGCGCGGGAAAGTTAGTTTAGGTTCGAGGTTCGCTTTCGCGTGCCACTGTTCAATAGAGGCGACAGTCCTACAAAGATTAGTTTTAACAACATGCAACAACTTTATATCGACATGAAAATATTATTTAAAAACCGCCGAAGTGTATCAGCAAATTTAAACCGGAGAAAGCTTTGACGTGCTATTGCAGCGCTTGATGCGTAAGGGACCGTCTGACAATTCCACCGACTGGGTTTAAACTGGGCAAACTTTCAGCTGTCGTAACCCAGTCTGGCCACTAGGAATGTACTAAAGCCTTCGGAACATTAGAAACCCCTTTTGGTGAATTAAGGTGCGTTCACGCCATATTCCCGTAATTACGAGATTCCAATTTGTAAAAAGCGTTCACGTCCTTGTAAGTACAGCTTGTGAACGGGGCGTTTTCTGAGAGCTACGACTTGTACCACCTGACCACCGCAGGCTCTGTTTAGGCGCTGATAGTGTTGTCATAGAAAAGCATAATTCCGAGTCCGAGGACGTGATTAGAAACCCCTTTTGGTGAATTAAGGTGCGTTCACGCCATATTCCCGTAATTACGAGATTCCAATTTGTAAAAAGCGTTCACGTCCTTGTAAGTACAGCTTGTGAACGGGGCGTTTTCTGAGAGCTACGACCTGTACCACCTGACCACCGCAGGCTCTGTTTAGGCGCTGATAGTGTTGCTATAGAAAAGCATAATTCCGAGTCCGAGGACGTGAACAGCTCCGAGTAGAACGTCACGTGCTGTCATCTCAAAATTACGGTAATTACGACATGGCGTGAACGCAGCATTACAGTAATTGTTTTCTAAGAATAATTATGGACTGTATGTACAGTAAGGGTGATATTGGTAAAATTTCAGCTGTAGTAAGTCAGTCTTGTAACTACAAATGTACTACAACCTTTGGAACATAAAAACCCCCATTTCGATTAATTACTGTATTAATTTTTTTTCTAAAAATATTTGTGTACTCTAGGTACATTAGGGGAGGTATTGTCTAAGGCGACATATTGGCTAAATATTTTCAGTCAGTTTGCCCACAAGGCATTTACTATGGCTTTGTAAACAATTTGTATTCATTATAGGACTTCGTTTTGTACT